GAGTGCAGGGGAGTTAGGGGTGGGAAGAAGCAAAGCTGACCTGGGCGCCCTCACGGAAGATGAGGTGGGTGATGCTACAGTGGGTGCTGATGGTGTCCTGACTCCCGGCAGGGGCGCTGTCACAGGTCAGGCGCAGGGCACGTGACTGCAGCTGGTTCTAGGGACGTACAGATGAAAAAATAAATATTAATGCAGGCAAGCATTTATTAGTGTTGCAAAGAAACTCCATAAAGTAATGACGGTTTCCTGGAAACTCTTAAGGTTATGTTTTTAAAAAATCCTTAGACACTATCTGGTCAAACTTCCTCCTAATGTAGAAATTGCAGATGTATTAGCATTTCTCCATTTTTTATTTATTATTGTCCTTTCAAAAAGGTTTGCATTATGAAAATTTCAAATATATTCAAAAGTAGAGAGACTAATTTAGTAGTGTAGTGTATCCATCACTCAGATTATATTACCATTTTTTCTACTCTTGTTTTATTCAGCTGTCCTCCATTTTTTTTTCCTGAATAATTTAAAGCACATGCCGTACGTCGCATACCTTCACCCAGAAAGACTTCAGTGTATACCACTAACAGATAAGGGTATTTTTAATCATAAGCACAAGACTCAACAAAGCATAGCCAACAAAACTTTCAATAACTTGTTAAGATCTGTTAATATCCAAGTCATGTTCAGTGTTCCGAGATTGTCTCCAAAAATGTTACGTAAAGTTCATTTTTAAAAATAGCCAACAAAAGTCCACACACGGCATCGGTTGACACATTTAGAAATACTCCCAGTGACAGGGTGCTCACCCCTCGCACAGCTGGAGTTTGCCATTCCTGGTGTCCTTCTTCATGCATTGATCAAAATATGCTCCCATTGGGAACACTAGCTTAAGAGAGACATGGGAGAGCATCCAAACGTAATGTGTGGACCTAGTTAAGATGCTGGTTCAAATAAACCAAATAAAAAAGACATCTTTTGAAAAAATTAAGGAAATCTGGTAATGGTCTGAATATAAAGGAGTCATTCATTGCACTGGATGTGATAATATCACTGGGTCACGTAAGATGGCCCCACTGTCCAGAACAATGAATTAGAAAGGTGTGTGATAACCTAACGTCTGGGATGTGTTTTAAAATACTTGAGCAAAGGTGGTGGAGGTTGGGGGGAAACAGATGAAATAAATGTGGCAAAATTCTGATCATTGTTGAATCTGGGTGATAATTTAGGGGTAAGTTTGTTGAACTAGTCTCTTCTTTTGTAAATGTTAAACATTTTTCATAAAATTTTAGTTAAAAATCTGCTTCTCTTTTACTCCCTGTGTTCCTAGTTCTGTCTTCTGGAACAGGGATTGCCGTATGATGGCCCAGCACCAATTTTTATAAATAAAATTTTATTAGAACACAGCCATGCTTATTCATATACATATTGTCAATGGCTGCTTTTGCAGAGTTTAGTAGATATGATGAACTGTATGGCCCACAAAGGTGAAATACTTACTATCCAGCCCTTTATAGAAAAAGTTTGCCAAGCCCTTATCTAGAGTAACCAAGTAAATCAACTCCTTCCTCTACAGAACAGTGCTGTAAACATCTGAAGGCTGAGATATATTTTCCTTTAAAAAGAGAAATATTGGTATGATGTGAAATATAAAGAAGTGTAAAGCAAGGGTCCCCATTCTCTTCACACTAGTGGCCTCCTGGGAACCCATCCTGACAGTCAATATCCTTCAAATGCAATGCCCAGAGTTGAACATAGAATGAGCCAAGGCAAGCCCCAGCCAACACAGTCACATTCATCCAACTGCAACCAGCCCAGCCCTCTTGGTTTTCAAGAGGCTTCTAAGCAATGACAGCCCCTGCCCAAGTTTTGAGCCCAGCACGAGAGTCTCTTCTGGTTCCCAGTCATCAGCCTCGTCTTTCCCCAGAGGGGACAATACCTGGCCCACTGCCACACGTCGGTAAGACAGCCCTGGCGGGTAGAAGAAGGTGACTCTGGTTCCATAGGAGTCCTCGCCATCATTCCGCACTGTCACTTCCAAGCTCAGCTCCAGGTTACTCCCCACCACCAGCGTCTTCAAGCTAGGCATTGTGGTAGAGGGGAGGAGATGACTCTGTGACTAAGGCTAGAAATGGTATATGGGGGTGAAAAATAGAGTGGGGGAGTTGGGGAGAGATGGGGACAAAGGTCTGGGTCCTGAGCACTGGGTAGAGATATTGGGGAGAGCCAGGGGCAGGAGTTCCAAGTTCCAGGAGAGGGGCTGGGAGACCAGGACAGGTCTGAGGGGGTGGACGCTCACCCCGAGACCCCAAAGGAAATGCTGAGGTCATCCTCGCAGACGTGATTGGTGCCACAGTTCTTCTCGAAGGGGAGCTGAGAGGGAAGGCAAAGCAGGGTTTCCCCCAAGACCTGGAGCCCATGCGCCCTCTATTCCCTCTGGAAGAGCCCAACACCAGGACTCACAGAAGCCGTGAAGTATCTCTGGGCATCCACATCCAGCATGGGCTGGAGGTTTCCAAAGGAAGAGACATGCTTGCCCACCAGGGAGAAGTTGAGACGCAAGATGATGGGGGTCACTGAGTCTTCCACACAAGCCTGGGGGACGGACATCAGGGAGAGCAGGTGGCTAAGAAATGCAGCCTCACAGCCACTAGCTGTGCCCCGTCTTCTCATCCATAAAATGGGGTGACAGTGGTAACTACCTGCCCCCGATAAATGCTCATTGCTATGATTCTGCACAGGCAACCTCTGCCGTGGTCTTCCTTCATCTTCAGCTCCCTTCCCCCAGCCCCTCTACAGTCTCACTCACTCTACTCAGGGTCTTCTCAAACTTCACCTGCTCCCAGAGGCCCCGACACCCTCTCTGTTCTCTCCCTGGCTTTATCTCCCTTCACAGCTCTCATCACTACCAACATCTATTATCTAAGACATTGGTCGCTTTTCGTCTTCCTCCAGAGCTTTCTGGGCATAATTGTTTTGTCCACGGCTGGCTCCTGGCACATTGGACACAGCCTGTCTCAGAGGATTAGCTGGATAAAAGAACTCCAGCCCACTGAAGCAGCTGAGCTCTTTTTCCTGAAATCCAGCCCTGCTGCCTCTGGCAGTTGCAGCCAACCTTATCCATCCATCTACTCACTTACTCCACTAACATGTGTTAAGCATCTCTTGCACGTCACCTGCCTTGCTAGGGCTGAGCCACGGCGAAGACCAGAACACACATGTTCCCCTCTGCCCAGCCCAGCCCACTGCCAGCCCCAGAATCGCCTTCATCCCCAGGACTCCAAGGCCCCCTCACCGGAAGGAGCAGCCTCACAGCCTCGCAGTGCTCTGTCAGCCCCAGGACTCGAACACGAGTCAGATTCCAGGTATTTGTCTCCTCGAAGATGGCACGAGGACTCAGGCGGCCAGGATCGAGGGTCAGGTCAAAGGTCACAGAGCTTTGGAGGTCACCTATAGGGGTAAGCAAGGGATGGGAAAGGCTGAGAGAGTGAAGAACTCCCTAGGTGGGCAAGGGGCCAGGCAGGAGATAGGAATCCTGGGCTAGGGGACGCCCCATCAGGATATCCTGGGTTGGAGGGGAAAGGACTCACCCAGCCTGTTCCTGGGACTTCCATGAATATGAAGGCAGACAGTGGCACTACCCAGAGCCTGGACAGAGGCCACATGCTGCTGGCACTCAAACACAGACCTGGCGATCTCTGCCGGAAAGATGCGGATGCTTGCCCGCACCCTGAGCACAGGTCTGGTCCTGTGGGCAGAACACTGAGCTGAGGACGGGCTCTTGGTACCCAGAGGACAACCTGGGATGAGGGGCAGGGAGGCAGGTGTCCTGGGCAGACCTAGGACTACCTGGGCAGTTTCTGAGGAAGGCTGTTCTCACCTGAGCAGTAGTGCGTGTCCCCGGGCCCCCACAGCCAAGTCCGCCAGTCCATCCTGGGTGAGGTCCTGACCCCCGCTCAGTGATTGCCCAAAATACTGAAGCCTGGGGGAGAGCTGGGTACCTGCGATCCTCTGGCCAGAGAGGGAGAAGAAAGTCAGGTGAGGACATGAGGGAAACAAGTTGGATGAAGCAAGAGGAACAGGGAGGTCAGGATGTGGGAGACAGAACACAGGGGTGAGAAGTAAAATGCTGTCTCCAAGAAGCTCCTGAAAGGGGGTGGGGAAACGGTGACAACAGACGAGGAAAGATTTCTAGGACATAAATGAAGAAGTGGAGATTGAAAGATTGGCCCGGTGACCTGAGTTTCATTCACTCACTCAGCTGGTTAGTCTCAGGTTCTGATTCTGGCTCCTTCACTGAGCCACGAGACCCTAGGTCAGGAGTCAGTCTTTCTGTGCTTCAGTGTCCTCGTTCCTCACCTGGGTTGATAACACCTCAGAGCATTAAGTGAATGAATGCATGGGGTTCTTAGAACGGCACCTGGCCCAGGTCACTGGTCAATTACTCACTCCAATGAGCATCAGGGATGGAGGGGACCTCAGACCCCCACCTCCCACATCGCAGGCGGTGCCAAAGCCACACGGCCTTTAAGAGGCTGACTTCAGACCCAGCAATCAGATCCTCTGACCCCATGCCCAAGGCCCCTCTTTGCTTCCTGTAGCTACCCTGTCTCTTCAGAAGCCAAGGAGAGACCAAGTCGGGGTGGGGAGTGACTGCACTCCATACACAGTTTCTACACCCCTGGACCTCATCTCCCCTATGGGTCCCTTCCCTTTTATTTCCAGGACTCCTGAAATGACCAGTCCCTTGAAGAACGTGCCCTTTAAATCTCTGGGCACCACTGGGACTGGCAGACATTCAGAGTAGTAATAATACAATGAAAGAGAAATTTACCAGTTACCAAGGGACTCTAGCAAGGAAGAGGCCGTAGAGACAGTACGCAGTCCGCAGCCTTGTGCACAGGAGAACTGATCTCACCACCACATCCTCAGGGGTGTGTGGGCCGGAAGGGGACAAGACAAGCCCTTCCCAGCTAAGTAGGTGATGGGCTATGTTGGGCAGGAAAGAAAGTCATAGTGGGCCAATGAATCTGGAGAGACCCCCTTCTTGGGGTCAGGCCTTGCAGGTATAACCCAAATGATATTTGCAATTGAATGGCTACATAGATAAGGCTCTGAGCTGCTGCAGCACGAGGATATTAAGAAGTTGGTGTGGACAGAATGCAGTTTTATAACAATGGAAAGCTCTTGTCATTCCGAACAAAGTCTTCCACCCTCTTATTAAAGTTCTAAGTTCTTTAGAACCTCTTCAGTCGATAAACTGCATTAACAATAATTGATTATAAAAATATAACACCTATTATGTGCCAGGCACAGGTGTATACAGGCGCCCTGTAGGTCCTCTATATGTGCTAATTCATTTAATCTTCACGGCAGCTGCCCAGTTAGATTGATTCCATTACTGTCACCATTTTACAGAGAGGTGAGTCATGACCAAGATCACAAAGTTGGGAAGTGACAGAACCATAGGAATCTTCTTTGACCTTTTTCCTAATAACTTTTTGAGATATAATTCACAGGCTGCACAATTTACCCCTTATCTGTTTCTAGGACATTCACAGGGTTGTGCAACCATCACCAAATCAATTTTAGAATATTTTCATCACCTCAAAAAGAAACTCCAGACCCCTCTGCAGTCGCCTCCATGTCCTTCATTTTGTTCTACCACCAACCCAACAACCACTAATCTTCTTTCTGTCTTTAACATAATGTTTTCAAGGTTTATTCACATTGAAGCATATGTCAGCTTTTCATTCTTTTCATGGCAGAATAATATTCCATTGTATGGGTAGACCACATTTTACTTATCTGCTCATCAACTGATGGGCATTTGAGTTGTTTCTACCTTATGGTTATTATGAATAATGGGACTATGAACATTCATGTATAATTTTTTTGTATAGACATGTTTTCAATTCTCTTGGGTGAAACTGCTGAGTCATACAGTAAGTTAAACTTTTGAAGAACTGCCAAACCAATATAGCTGCACCATTTTACATTCCCACCAGCAGTGGATGAGGGATTCTCCACATCCTCATCAGCAATTGTTATTACCTGCCTCTCTGATTCCAGCCATCCTAGGGGGTGTGAGGTGGCATCTCATTGTGGTTTTGATTTGCTAATAACTGATGATTACTGACATTGAGCATCTTTGCATGTGCATTTTGGTCCTTTGTATATCATCTTTGAAGAAAAGTCTACTTAGAGCCTTTGCTTCTTTTTTAACTGGGGCTTCCTTAACTTTTGCCAGGGATGAAACCCTTCTTTTTCAGGGAACCCTGTGCCACTGAGTGAAGGGCTCCTGCCTATAGGCATCCGGCAGGATGACTGATTGCAGGAGGGAAAGAAGTCATCGCATCACACATTGCAGGGAGTGAAGGGGTGAGTGGACAGGCAGACTGGGCCACCAGACCTAACCGACTGAAAACAGGGAGCCTTTAAGAGATGGAGCATCGGGTTAGAGTCTAGAAATTGGAACCCCCCCATCACCATTCTTGATCCACTATAAACCTGAGACTAGTCAAGTCACTTATCTTCTCCGTGGCCCAGATTTCATCTCTAAAATGGGTTTGCTAATGCCTGGCCTGTGTACCCTGTAAAGCTGCTGGGGATTAAAAGGCTGGGATGGAGAAATCATTCAAGCATCAAGTCCTTAGACAAAGCAGAGAACATATCAATCAATGTTTCTATTTCTCAAATTCCACAGATTTTCCTTGCTGCCAACAAGATGCCCAGTGTTGTACAAAAAAGGTAACGTGAGAGAAAAGAGAATTTTCCAGGCAGCAGTAGAGAAGACAAGGAGAAACCAGGAGGAGGTTCTTGTAGCAACAGGATCTGTGATCTGGCCTCACCTGGCTGTATGAGGGGTTGATACTCAGTCCTGAGGTTCCATGAAACAGGTAGATGGCACCCCGGTTCTCCTGCTCTCCTGGGGCCCCGATGGCCACGTCCATCAG